AGTTTTAGTGTTCATGGGCCCCTGAGGAATTTTACCAGTGAAAGTAACATGTTCTAACATGAAATCAAGTTATACTATGTCAGAAGCCTCAGTTCTAGCATAAAACCAAGTTATAGTAGGTTGGAAGCTGCTTTGCTTACTTACTATGGTTTGAAAATGTATGCCATAGAGAAGGTGTTTTGTAAATGTTTTGCCTTCCTTCCTTCCTTCCTCTCTCTTTTGTGTATGTGTGTGTAAGTGTGTGTGTGTGTGTCTGTGATTATGTCTATGTGTGAATATATGTGTCTAGGTGTGCATATGTGTATATTTGCGTGAGTACCTGGATGTGGGTGTAGAGGGCAGATGGCAATTTGTATGAGTCAGGTCAGTCATTCTACATTGTACATCCTAGAATTCAGACTCAGGATTTTAGGCTTAGCAGCAAGCGCCCTTACATGCTCGGCTGTTGCATTAGCCTACACAGAAGGTATTTAACTCTCCCTTACATGGGTGAGAGGAAAGATAAAGTTAAACCAGTAAGATAGATTATCTAGCCAGAGAGGCAACTGTAACCAGAAAGAAAGCCAACTCAGGGACTGCTGCCCTAAGGAGTTGAGTATAGACAAATAAACTACTAGGTTACTGTGGTGGTTTGAAAAAAAAATGGTTGCCAAAGGGAATGGCGCTATTGGGAGGTGTGGCCTTGTTGGAGGAAGTGTGTCACTGTGGAGGCGGGCTTCCAGGTCTCATATGCTCAAGCTACACCTGGGGAGACAGACCACTTCCTCTTGCCTGTGAGTCAAGTTCCTCTAGCACCATGTCTCCCTGCACTCTGCCATGACCCTCCACGATGATATTGGACTAAACCTCTTAACTGTAAGCCACCTCAACTAAATGTTTTTCTATATAAGAGTTTTTGTGGTCACTGTGTCTCTTCACAGCAATAGAAACCCTAACTAAGGCAATTACCACACAAATAAAGGGACCTAGGAGTGAACCTCATTCATAAAGCATGTGCTTGGTATATGGAAGGCCATGGGTTGGCTTCTTGTCACTGAAGCAAGTAAAAATCAGAGCTATACTGATATCTATGCTCCCAAAGAACTTATTGCAGATGCCTGCAGAGGCAAGTATCTGCCTCAGCTCCCTACAAAATAGGAATGCTGGACTAGAGCACATGGGTGTCTGCTCTGCCTAATGGCCTATTTTTTAGAATAAACACAGTGAGGAAATGGGTAAGAAATACTTTGAGGAATGTTTACATAAGCACACGTCAAACATAGGTAGAAAGTGCCTTTGCAGGGATAGTGACATCTGCCCCAAAAGTCTTAAATTATCCACTGTTCTTTTGACTGTTTGTGCTAAAGCTCTATTTTCTTTGCAGATGCTTATCATGTGTCCACCTATCAAAATTATTCTTGTAGAGCATACTCATTAGAGTATATTGGCCACCAGCCTCAAAAAGTCACTTACTGTATGTGTAACTAATAGATATATAGCAAAGAGCTGAGCATCATTAATGATAACTCAAAGTTATCTTTTGGTCCACAGTTTTCCATGGTTTATTAATGGCCTAACACATTAATTTTTCTTTCAGGGTGACCTTTACAACACCATTAATCCTTCCGGCTTTTATCCAACTACATTATTTCTCATTATAGTTTCAGCTTTCAACATCTACATTTGTTGAAAAGAGAAAAGTAAATTGTAGTGGCCTCAAACCCTTGGAAAATATGAGGGCTGTAGATATGGTGAAAGGACCAGGATGAGGGAAGGAGATGTTTTATTACTGTAATAGAGAAATCCATATGATAAGTATCACTAAACATATTCTTGCCTTTATAAAATACTTGGTTATACTTAGTCTTTGGGGACGTTGATGTAAAACTATCTACACACATACATATATGATTATTTATAAAATTATATATATACATATATATAATCATTCTATTAGAAAGCAAAGTTTAAGTAATATTTTAAAAGTAGGCCATATGTCAACATTGTGACTTTTACGAACTCCATTTCTAAAAGGAAGTGAATCCTTTTTGACAAATCAAACATTTTCTTTCACACAGAAACAAATCTAATCTCATGTCTTTTAGGACACTTAGCAGAGTGAGTTAGTATTAGACCAATGTGGTGAGACATACATGCAGATTCCAAGCTTCCGTTTTCAGTGGTTCTCATCTGAATGCCCCCTGCCCTTTGCTGAGTCACTGCTAACCAATCATCTTAAGTTCTGCTATGTAAAATTAAAGCATTTGGAAATACCTCTTTTCTCTGTCTAGTCTTCAATTTCTCTGAACCTGGACTAACTTTCTGCTTCCTGCTGTCTCAAACCAAAGACCTAGTCTATCTTTTTCCTAAGTCAAGTTGTTCTAGCAATCCTTCCTCTTTGCAGGAAGAACTCCACCTCCCTCTCAAGGCTGTGTATCTCTCCACTTTTCTCCTCTTCCTCTTTGGAGAGGAATGTCTGTCTGTCTGCCTGCCTGCCTGTCTGTCTGTCTGCCTGCCTGCCTGCCTCTTGACTACCTACCTACCTCTACATCTTCATTTTAAATCCTATGCCTACTCAACTCACCCTGTCACTTCTCAAATCACATTTACAAGATGAGTCCACATTGCCAACTCTACCATTCACTGGACTGTCCTATTCATTCTCCAAGCTGCTGCAACTGGAAGTCTGGTGAAATCACTCCACTTGGGTCTCAGAGGTCTATCTATCTGTGAACTCCAGCTAAAGACTAAGGCTTTTCTGCATCATGTTCCTCTGCTCTTCTGTAGAATGTGCCACCATAAAATAACCTCTCTGTGAAAGCTTTTCTAGGGCCAACCTTATATGGCTCTATTGTTGCATTTGTCTGTGGGGTGACTGTGTTGACTTACAGGGTTTCTCTGCACTGTAAGTTCTGTTATGAGCTCACAGGTGCCTGGAAGAAATGAAACCCATCCCAAACTGCTCCCATAAACAGGATTTCTTTTTGGTGTGAGATTTTTCATGTTTGTACCAGGAGCTCCACTCACTGACTGAAGGCTTTCTTTCTCACAATGCTTACATATGTAGGCTTTCTTTTTCAGTGTGATTTCCTTGTGCTTCTAATAGTTACTGTGCCAACTGAAGGCATCCCCCACATATACATGACATTTATTATTCATTAGTATTGGACAGTCTTATTCAGCAGTTTTCTACCTAGAAAAGTATGTGGTAGATTTAAGATATGTTCAAATAACCTTTGAAATTTTTCTCTTCAAAAGTTGGAGGTTAACTCTCTCTTTCTCTCTCTCTCTCTCTCTCAAGTGGTGATTTGGCTGGCCATTCATAAACACCATGGCTTTCTCTGCTCTCTTTTTGGGGTTCACTCACTGGGGAGTTTTCCTGCCATGTGATAAGGAGCTATGGGAAAGTCTGTGCGATCAAGAACTGAGGTTTCTAACTACCAGGGAGGCAAATGAGTTGTCTAACTGTAGTTAGGTCCTGATGTTCTCGCTAGCATCTTCACTTATAATTGTTTGGAGTAACCTAAGACAGCAATAGTTAGCTGAGTTTCTCCTTATTAACTGAGAAAATGTACAGGAAATAGGCAGTTTTGGGGTTGGTAGTCTATACAACCATTAGCTAATACAATCACGGTTCTTCTTACCAGACACACTCGTTTCTGGTGAAATGCTCAAGTCGAGTATTAATCTCTATATCCAACATCCCAGCTTTGATTTTACATATCAAATAGCTGCATTTTCCTCCTGAGCACCTCTAACTAAATGCTGCCTTGTTCTTGGAACTTAACACATACTAACGTTCCTTTTCATGTCCTCCTTCCAATTCTGATCTTCTTGTTCATGGGTAATTGAAACTCCTAGGCTCCTCTGCACTCTGGGGCAGAGGACTTTGTTAGATCTTCTTTAATATGCCTCCATTCCTCCAGAACCCACTCTCTTATTTCCACCTCATGGAACGTACTCTTACCACACATGGCAATGGTGCTGCTGCTAAACAATATTGTTCACTCGTTAATACTTAAAGTTCTGATGACACTGCTCTGTGAAGGAAAAGGGCCGAAACCTCAGAGGAGAGTGTTCCACCCCATTCTCATCCACATATTTCCATCTTTTCTTCCACCACGTTCTGCCATGTTACACAGCTTTCTAGTCAAGTCCTTGCATGTCATAGGTGCTTATTTTCCTGAGTTCTTCCTCTTTTTTACAGCCTAGGAAGCCTACGAATGTATCAGTTCTTCAAAGTTTAGTTTGAGTAGTGCTGTTTGTAACTTAGTCTGTTGTGATTCTTCCCAGTAGAACATAGCTCTCTCCTCTGTGACTATAGGATTACAGGTGTGCTCTGGAGTAGCCTTCAGTATTTAAGAGCTAGATTGTAACCTCTCCCTAAGTAATCCTGTTCTGCATAGGGACTAATCTGTGCTAGAGGTTTCCTACAGACAGAAGTAATAAACATATCAATGAGTGTGTGCTGAATTGAGTAAATTTTAATTCATGCATGAAAAATAAAAATAATAGCATTGGTTGACTTATCATAAATTATAGTTAGAGGAAACCGAAGACCCCGTCTATGTGCAATCAGAATTTTCAGAGTAGAACAGAGCAAACTTCATATTTCATGGCTGAAAGTTGACCCAAACAGAATGCATACCTCATCATATATCTGCATACATCACAAAAGTGAGAAAAAAGTCTCAGTGGTAGGAAAGAAAAGTCACTTAGAAGCAAGATTCTGGAACCATTTTTTCACTACAATTCATTTATGTCTCTTTTTTAAAAAAAAATAAATTAAAAGGCAAAGTTTCACACATAACTAGCACTTTTAGATTGTCAAGTGCATAGAAATTTGGCTGATTAAAACTTTCACTTACATGTTTAAAACAGACCGTATGATAGTAACTCAGATTACATCTCCCTCATTTTCTCAAGCCATGTGCAACCTATGTGTAGGCACTCCATCTTAGATGATTCCATTCAATTGCCATAAACCGAAAGTGAACAAGAACAAGAGAAACAGGACTTACCTATTGTGCTAACTCTTGCTGAAGGACTAGCTAATGCTGCTGGGGCAGAGGCTTTGAGGGGGCCCGCCCCACTGTTTATTCTCAGAGCCGGCATGTGGGGAGACGTGGGTGATGTGGGTGATTTGCCATCCGAGGTCTTGGGTTTAGCTGATAGGTTCAGTGGCTGGGCCACTTCATCCTGCAAGGGTCATTAGAACATGAGCTGTGACAAGGAAAGGCTGACCAGAGACATCACGAAAAACACCCGAGTAAACATCACTACATTTATAACATAAAATCAAGAAGAATACTCAAAATATTCCTTGGTATGAACATGTGCATTAGACCAGTTCAGTAATTAGTGACTTAATTATTCTATGCTTGAAGAGTGTATCTCAATTTTATACCCTTCTCTGTTAGCTCCCAGGTTATCAATTACGTCACATTTGTGGATACAATTCTGCTGGATTTCTATTGCATTGTGAGAATCAGAAAAACAACACTACATTGCTCACTACAAACTATTTTATTCCTTTGATATGTTCTAGAATTGGAACATTTGGACAATTGTTTATATCATATTCAGTACTATTTAAATTTTACTGTAAAATGAAGTTTCAGTTACCCTTTAAATATTATTTCATGAGTTGAGAGCATATGTGATATTTATCAATAGCAGAAACTTTGCTTTAAAGTGAAGCTATCTTTATCAAATAAGGTAAACAGATAGCAGGGAGGCATATGCTAATCTCTACAAAAACTTAATTCTTCACTATATACATACATATATAAACATACAAATATACACACATGCTTACATATGAGCAAATTCTAGAACCATTTCTCACTACAATTAGTCATTTATACACCTTAAAAAACAAACTAAAAGGCAAAAGCTTCACACATAACTGGAACTTATAGATTTTCAGGGTCTGTAGAACTTTGACCACGTGTAGTGTGTGTGTGTGTGTGTGTGCGCGCACCCTATTGAAACAAATCACTTCATAAGGAAAATCATGATGGCACAAGACAAGAAGGAAGTTAGTGCAAGCTTGTGCTCTGAAAGGTGCTCATGATAAGGTTATAGATTCTGTGCACTTAGGAAACCTGTGAACAAACTAGACAAAAGTATTCTCACATATGCTCTGATTTGCATTGCAAAGAAAAGCACATTTTGTAGTGAATTACCAATGAGGTAATTCAAATTGGCCATCAGGTTGCATTAGAGATATAGAATAAGTTAATAGCTATTATATGAATTTCTACCCATTAATAGACTCTTGGAAAGCGGTCAAATAAGGTAGTTCCCTTCCTAATAGGGTATATGACTTAGAGAGAAACTTATTTTTACACCTAAAAACGTATAGAGGTCTATTTAACTGGAAACACTGCTTAATGTGAAACACCCAGTTGAGCTGTTCAGACAGAGCCTACACGATGCCTCGGTAGGCAGGACCCCTGAAATAATGTGTGTGTCTATTCCATTGGTTCTGAAAGAGCTGTTCATGGACTAGCACTACCTGGAGAACCTGAGAACTAGTTGTAGGGCAAACTGTTGCAGATGCTTGGATGTGGGGTCCAACAATGGGTGTTTGGATGAATATTTTCCAGTAATTCTAGTGTACTCTAAAGGCTGGCAGCTAATGGCTTACAAAAGAGGCAATTAGAAAACGTTAACACTGGGTTTCAAAAAGCTTCCTCGATGAAAGGGTACACAGTTTAAAATATGTAGTATGACTAAATTCTTTGAAATTTGGCTGGGATTATATACTAATAAGATTAGAAACAGTTGTGTGCACACAAGATCGGCCTGGTGCAGGGGTGGAGTGGAGGAGTTCTGGGATAAGAATCTGTACCTTCTCCACCAGTTAAGCCGAGTATCCTAACAGCCAGGTAGACTATTAATGCTACTGACTGTGTGACTGTAAATGTCCCGTGTGCTCCTCTCCCCACTACCTGGCACATGCCTGTCTGTCCTCTGTGTGAACTCTAGGGCTTCAGCGACAACCTTGGGGCAGGATCATCAACTCTTGTTTCCAGAAAAGCTTTGGGGAGTTAAAGGCAGTTGCTGCCCTTGACTGTGTACTCAGAAGGCTGGAGGATGAGGCAGAGTGCATCCCTAAAGCTGGAGTGGGAGATCTGGAACACATAAGCAGAAGAGTGAGGGTGTGGACCAGGAGCACGGGTGACAGTGCTGATGAATCTGAGGGGCTGGGTGATACGACACGGTGAAATGCCACACGTCTGAGCCTTCGACACTAAGAGCTATCACGGGTTCATGCTGACGGTGCCTCGATTGTTTATGAAGGCTAAAGACGCACTGCAACTTTCGATATTTCCTCCAAGGCAGTGCACATGTCTGAAAGACAAGAAGTGCAGGGCCCCAAGGACGTATGACAGGTGGACAGTTCCAGATTGACAGAAATGTCATTCGTATTTGCCCTTTAAGACTCTCCTCGACCGTGAGACAGACTATTGGTATATTTAATAGGAGCTCACATGCATTATCCTTATGCTGGGAATTGCATAATAATTTTGGTCCATTATATTATATCTCACAATTTGGCCCGTTTTAATTATTCCCTGCTGCTGAAACCACAAAGCAAGTCCCGTTATCCATGAAGAACAGGGAACTTACAGAACACTCCAACTTTCTACTAATTATTGTTTACTTGACTAAACGAAGATTCTACGGCACTTAACTGTAAGATGGGCTTTGACCTGTTTGTTTATGGTGTGCATTCTTAGAGTTATGGGTTTGGCATAAACATGGAAGGCACAACATTTTCTACCTTGTGTTTCACTTGTAGTGTCTTGTTTAGAAAAAAAATATAATTGAACAGCTTAGCTTGGCCAACCTCTATTCTTAGCAGTAAAACATATATCAAGATAAATAAATAATTCACATATAAAAGACTGAGTAACTTCCAAGGTCAGGAAAACATTTCTACCCAATCCACCATTAAGCAGGGAGAAAAGCAAAATCTCCTTTGCATTACTCAACCAATTGTTGAATCAGGTTACCACAATGAAACTTTCATAAATATTATTACTTTGTAATTATTTCTTTTATACATAAAATGATAGCCCCCAGGATTTTATTTACTTTTTGAGTAGTTCCAAATGACAAATGTTTTATGAGCATCTAAACATAAACAGACATGTAAGCTGAAGTAAACACATTTGTACTCCGGGAAGACAGCTATTTGCATTTGCAGATCTCATTATAGATACTCCAAATCACTTGTTTAATCTTCCGGGCCATGACGATTTTTGTTTGTTTGCCATCCTGATCCCCTTGCCTCTCCCTCTCAAGTGCTGGGATCAGAGAGATGTGCTCCACCCTGCCCTGTCCATCACCTTGGATGCTATTAAGTAACCAGTAATTTATTGCATGAAGCTCAGATAGTTTAGTGAAGCCCACTGAAAGCTTTGGTGTGCCTTTCAACTTACACACCCACGTTTATCCTAGAGTTTAAGAGCCAAACTTCACGTGTACTCTGGAACTGCGGCCTCTTTCGATATTTATATCACATATGCACACGAAGGCTCATGTAAACGTGAGAGAGTGAGGTTAAATGCATGCCTGCTGTTTCATACACTGGCAAAAAGTTATGCAACCCAGTGACTCAATTTAGTGACTTTTTGTGATTATTGTCTATGCTATATTACATAAAATATTTCACAGTGTTGATATGATACTTAGACTACTTGTTGAGGAAATTAAGGTTTCTTCTCTCCTAGCAGCACTGATTGCCAACTGGACATGTCTAGAACTACCTGGCTGAGAAGTCTCAACTGAGTAATTTTCTTTATAAGATTGGCTCATAGGCATAGCTATGGGGGAGTCTCTCAATTGTTCATTGATACAGAAAGACTTAGCTCATTGTAGATGGCACCATTCCCTGGGGAAGTAGTCCTAGGAGAATATATATATGTATAGAAAAGCATGAGCCTTCAAGTAAGTCAGGCAGCAGCATGATTGATCCATGGTCTCCTCTTCAAGTTCATACTCGGATTCCTTCCCTGATATCCTTCAGTGATGGACTATAACCTTCAAGGGGAACCCAAATCAGCTCTTTGTTTGCCTAAGCTGATTTGGGTCAGCATGTTTGAAATCATAGCAACCTAAACTTCCTCCACAGTAGAGGAAAATAAGATTCCAAATCTCCAGGGGAAAGTTTTAGGAGTCTACTGTGGAATATAACTTTTAATAAGCTACTGGTTCATCTTTGTTAACTGAGGAAATGAATGAAAACAGGTAAACTCAAGCAAACATTTGGTACGGCAGCTACCATGACTCAACTGAGAACTAAAATCCCATTTACCAGCTGTGGGCTGAGCAGCAGAACCATGGAGGCCTTGATTGGTCTGTATCATAGGCAGACAATCCCACAAGCAGGTAAAGAAATTAACTGGATGAGGTAAAGAACATGACCCAAATCTGCGGCTGTAGATGGACTCACGGAACCATCATCAGAGACCCCAGGATCATTTTGTGCAAAGACAACTAAAACTGAAATATATCTCAGACCATAGCTTCAGTTAGGTCTATTTTTGACAACATGCTCTTTTACATAGTTGCACGCTGCCTTCTTTTTTGCTTTTTGCTTTCTGCTGCAGTAATAAAGTAACTATCAAACCTTCCAGTCCATCACTGAGGGTAAATGGCAGAAATTAAAGCAGGACCTGGGGGTGGGAAAGGAAGCAGAGGCCATGGGGGAGCACTCATCACTGGCTTTCTTTCCGTGGCTTGCTCAGCATTTTTCTTAAACCCACTGGGATACCCTGCCCAGGGGTGGCAGCACCCACTATTGCATCATTACTAGCACCAGTATTCAAGAAAGTGCTCCCACAGACCTACCTACAGGTGAGTCCAGGGAGGCACTGACTCAGCTGAGGCTCCCTCTTCCAGATGACCCCGGATTGGGTCACACTGACCAAGAAAGTGCTCCCACAGACCTGCCTCCAGGTCAGTCCATGGAGGCACTGACTCAGCTGAGGCTCCCTCTTCCAGATGACCCCAGCTTGGGTCACACTGACAAAAGCTGAGCAGCGCATATGACTTTCACACTTGAAAACGACTAAGAAAAAAATCAAATGTGATTTTTCACGTTATCATTTTATCAAAGAAAGAGGAAGGCATTCTTCATTCGACCATAACATACTTACTTCTTTTTCTCTCTCTTTAGTCTCCTA